CCTACCTACCTACCTACCTACCTACCTACCTACCTACCTACCTACCTACCTACCTGCCAATTTACAAACCTACCTACCTACCTACCTACCTACCCACGCAACAACCCATCCTACCTGCAATTCCTCTCTGATCCTCTCTCTACATAATTTTGCCACTCTATCTTGTCTGCCCACCCCCCTCCTTCCACATTTCCCTCACTCTGCTTTCCCTGTCCCTGTCTTCCCCATCTCTCTCTCCCTCCTTCCCCCACCCTCCCCCTAATATACAGGGTCTTCACCTACACAAAAGCTCAATATCATTGTCCCTCCAAGCGGAGATATCAAGAAATTAAATCTTTCCTTCACTCGGTAAAGTCACGCACGTTCGTGTATTAGGCTTTAAAAAAAGAAAAGAAGAAAAGAAAAGAAAAATAAGAAAAAAACCCCCCTCCCAGAACGACCCCTCACCCTTTTTTTTCTCCCCTTTTTTTCGGAAAAAAAATTGCTAAAGATCTCCTGAGGAATTATACACTACCCTGGGACACGAAGATTAACAGCGAAATAAAAAGAAGAAAGACACTAAGACTTGGGTGTATATAGGAACGAATTATTAGTATACATTGCTATTTTCAAAATTGTCCAACGTCATCCTTATTAGCATAGCTGTTGAAAAAAAAGTGCAAAAATTATGATAAAGCCATTATAATTAATATATACATGTATATAATATACATGTCTGTAGACAAAGTTGGATAAGTTTTTTTTTCTTTTTTCTTTTCTTTTTTTTTAAACTTTGGAACGACTCGGTTAAAAATAATAAAATAAAGAACCAGGGTAATACATGTAATGATATTAATAATTATACAAAAAGAAACAAAAACAACAACAACAACAGAAAAAACATGTGGAATTTGACGATGATCGTTTTCATATTCAGTACCATTATTTTATCATTATCATGATTATTTCTGATCTTTTTTTACGTTTGAAGGGTTAAAAAAGAAAACCAACTTTAACCCAGTACACTACTCTCAAACTCTGGATTCAGGAAATACTCGTCACTCCTACAAGTGGGCTAACATTCCTGATTGAATATGGAGCGTGAATCACGACAAACCAACATGATAACAAAAGACGCTCGACTCACACTGTCTGTTACTGTACCTTACGACTACACGGACATGCACTCGTGCACACACCACACACACACACACACACACACACACACACACACACACACACACACACACACACACACACACACACACACACACACACTCACACTCACACACACACACACACACTCCACACACACACACACACACACACACACACACACACACACACACACACACACACGGACACACAAAGACGCACGGGTGCTCGCATACTCTACTGTCATAAGTTTTATCCGGGATTGGCGGGGAAGTATTGAAGTGGGAGTGGGGAGGTGTGTATGTGTGTGTGTGTTGGGGGGGGGGGGGGGAGAAGGCGGGAGGTGGGGGGTGCAAGGGGGTTTGGGTATAGTGCCATATAATATATGGAGGAAGTCTGAATTAATTGTTAGCCTACGTTAGAAGCAAAATGCACCCGACATTCTAAAAAAAATCAAAAATTCTTCTGACAGAACGCAGGATGGAGTATAAAAGTTTGATACGAAACACCAGTATCATACTTTTATGTTATCTCTTGGTGTTTTTTTTTTGGGTAAGTTTCTGTTCGCTTTTATTAAGCTACAAAAAGGTGCCGATGGAACTGTCTATTAAAAAAAATTTGTTGTATTTCTTATGTTTTCTCTTCACCCATTGCTAGGTTATCCTGTGTACGTGAAAGCAAACTGTTAAACGGTGCTTTAAAAATTGCCCGATGGAAAGGTACAAACTAGACCACCAACAAAATAAAAAGTAGGCCGTCTAAATAAGTAAACTAAATAAGAGCAAATACAAACCCACTTAAGAAAAGAAAAGGGAACAAGCTTTCTTTTGAAATGAAGATATCAGTTTACGAAAAGGGGCACTGAAAAGAACATTATGATCCTCAGCAACCTTTGTGGCTGCTTTATAAAGCAAAACGCTGCGGGGGTTTGTGGTTTTGGGGGTAGGGGGTTGGGGTTGAGTTGAGAACGATATGATCGAGTGCGTAGAAATCGTCAAAGCGTGGAGATATATTTTTTTTCTGCTCTTGGTCTTTTTGCACCACGTATAGAGGTTAGTGGCATGCCGTGTGGGAATGAAAAATTTCTGGAGTCGGTGCTGCAGCAAAAGGACACCGGACATCGTTTTGTTATAACATGATCTAGCAGAAACAATAAATGGGACCATAAAGAGCTCATAATTTTATGACGTCAGTGAAATGATTAATAACATACATGCACCACTACCTACCACCACAAACACCACTATAAGAAGGTCATCATGGCAACAGTGGGGTTCACACATTTACCTCAGCAACGACGACGTCTGAATAGATTATTATCGTAATAGGCATACGTTGCCACGTTATCAGTACAAATTCTATTCCTTTACGGTGTTGGTCCAGAAAGATAAGACCCGCTATTTTGTTCCCCGTGCCTGGGCTAGGCCAATCATATCTGAACACGGTGATAACGACAGACATAATATCTCAGGGCTGTGATAGATTGCCTCTGAAATAGACGCCAGTCTCAAGACCGTCTTGTAACAAAACTAGTCTAGATCTATGTCCGGTGTCGCATTGCTGCTGCACCAACTCTAGAAAATTCCTTGTCCACACAGCAAGACACAAGCTTACACGCAGTACAAAGAGAGCAATCACAGAAAAAATATATCTTCCACTCTTTGATGATTTCTATGCACTTCTATAGTTCTTACCCCCCTTTCCTCCTTTTTTCCACCTTCCCAGAATGGCTGCCCGTTCTGGTTCGTTCTATTCTCTGGGAAACATGTGGAATGACATTAAAAAGCACGAAAAGGCAACGGGGAAGCGAATGGAGAAGGAGGCATGGGAGGAGGGAGGGGGCCTTATATCATCCTGGTTCCTCACAATCTGCTGTGAAGTAATAAACTCTCTCCACAGCAGCGGAAGGCACTGACACTGGAGTTGGAGCTGTATTCTGCGCGTCGAGTACTTTCCAAGTGGAAATTGTATGCTCAACAAATTCAATGCAATTTTTCATATTATTTTCATTTATAATAGATCGAATAATAATAATAATAATAATAATAATAATAATAATAATAATAATAATAATAATAATAATAATAATAATAATAACAACAACAATATTAATAATGATAATTATAATGTTCCCTTAAACTCTATTGGTAGACTCTTCCAGCCTCACTCTTAAGCTTACTTAATCAAAGCTTGCGACTGCTTATAAAGTGGCCCGATAGGGGCGAACAAGTTATTTCTGTGGCAATGAAACGGTTTTGAAGGTTAGACATAGTCTATTGTTCATTGGTGATCATGAACGTCTCTTTACATTTGATTTATGAGGTTTACGTCTATGTGTGAATTTGACTGCGACAATGTTTCAAAATTAGGAAGGGAAGCAGTGATTATTTCATTATATAGACGCTTCGCCTCTGCTGATTTGATGTGGTCTAGGCTGTCTTGGGTATTATATTATGACCGCCTCCTTGCGGGTGGTTGGAGGTTCTGCTTCATCTCTTTCTATTTGTTGTTTTTATATGTATGTATGTCTTGCTTTACCACCTGCTAAATATGACTATAATGTGGCTATTATTGTGACAATATGGGTCATAGTATTCAAACACAACACATACCCCCCCCCCCCCCCCCACCTCCTTCAAAAAAAAAAAAACCCTCCATCTTCTCATCCATGGTCTTCCTGCTGGACAATGGAAAAGTCCTTATGACAATGATGTTTGTGTTTTGTAGAGGTGCGTTAAATAAACGAAAAAAACAAGCTGCATGGCTGGGTGTTATCCACTTTCGAAAGGACATGAGCAACCAGGCAGGAACTTGCAGAAAAGCAAAACAGCTAATTAAGGCTTTTTTGGTGACGAAAAGTAGAGGCCGCTGTGTAGTTGTGTTTGT